AAAGAATGTGGGAAATCCTTCTATAGAAAGTCACACCTCACTCTGCACCAGAGAACTCACGCAGGGGAGAGACCCTATGAGTGTAAAGAATGTGGGAAATCCTTCTATAGAAAGACTCATCTAACTCTGCATCAGAGAAGTCACTAAAGAAAGACATCCTATGAGTGTAATAAACGTGGAGAGGTCTTTTTTTTAGAAAGATTCATCTGACTCTGCATCAGAAAATTCACATGGGAGAACCTGAAATTGTGTTGAATGTGAGAAAGGTTTTGGCAAGAAGCCAGTCCTAAAGGTTTCAGAGAACCCACAAGGGGGAGAGACCCTATAAATGCAGTAAACCTTGAGAAAAAGTTTTAACAGCATCTCAGGTCTTAAGAATGCATCAAAGAAGTTAGTCACACAGGGGAGAAACCCTATTGACATGTTGAATAAAGGAAAATCTTTGGCCAAAAGTCAGGCCTTGGCAAACATCAGAGGACAAACCCTATGTGTGTAATGGACATGGGGAAGCTTTGGAAGTGAAGCGTCAGAGAACGCAGGGAAAGTACCAGGAATGGAGTAAATGTAGGAGGTTCTTCTACAAGAGATCAAACATGAACAAAAACTCGAGAGCAATCCTCTGTTTACTGTGTGTGGACAGTCTTCAACCAGATTTCAGCCCTCATTGGACATCAGAGGCCACGCAGGAGTCAAATCCTTGAAATCAGTCACTACGAACAGCCTTTCGCCGAGACTGTTCACTGGGTGTTACCTGTGAAGTTAAGGGATGTGGGGAACTTCCACAGCAAGGCAGCCTTCAGCCTGATTGTTCTGGAACCCAACCTGAGTGTAGTAGCAATTACGTACTTTCTCATCATGCAGACACTTCAGAGGATACATTTGGATGGTCAAAATACCCTGTGTTCCAATTTTCTCGTCTAGCCAGTGTGTATAAGCAAGACTGTTGGTACTGAATTGCCTCTTCAGGCAAGACGCCAAACACTGTTCTCTGTAAGACTTCACTGTCTCAGGGTCAGCCGTGCGATTAGTGTGAACATATTCCTGTGTGTAAAAATCTCAGCAGTTGCTTGGAGAACAAATCTGTTTCAAGGGAAGAGCTGCTGTGAAGAGTGATACTTACTGTTTTCATTGTAAACAGAAAAGGGTTGTATTTTTATTTTTATTTTTATTTTTTCGTTCAAAATGTTTTAAAATGATGGGAGAGTTTTTGGACCTGCATGTTATTTAGAAGTATGCTTTTCAGTCTGCAGATACTGAGATTTCTTGCTTTTTTTTTATATACATATACTGATGTCTAGCTTTATTCTCTTACAGTTTGGGAAAATGATTTGTATGACTTCTTTTAAGTTTGTGCTCTCTGACCCATAGTGTTGTCTGTCTCAGTCCGGTTTCCATCTAGAGCCTGAAAGTGTGTATTCTGCTGTTGTAGAATAAAGTGTTCACTAAATCCTGACTAGATGCCGTTGATTGATGGTGCTGCTCAGTTCAACTCCGTCTCTGTTTTGACTGATGAATCCATCAAGTCCAAATGGAAGCTTATTGAAATCTCCAACTATAACCCTTACCAGTTCTTGCCTCACCTGTTTTGAGGACTGGCGTTACATACGTGCTGATGAGGACCGTTGCATCTTCTTGGCGCATGCCTGTTATTACTATGTAATGCACCTGTGTATCCCTTGTAATCTTCCTGTGCTCAAAGTCCCCTTTGTCTGAAAGTAACACACACACTTACTGTAGTTGTCTTTCGGTGTGTGTTAACACGGCATGTTTTCTTCATCCCTTCACTCCTAATGTGTCTGTTTTTGTATTCACAGGGACAGTGTGTAGGTGTCATGTATTTGGGTAGGTTTTTAATCCTCTCTGAGATTGCTTTTTATAATTGGTATATTTAGATAATGCATGCATATTTGTCATGTTTTAAGAAATCTGTTTCATAGTATTTTTTTTTCTGCTTTGCATAATTTTAACTGCATTTTAGAGGATTGCATTTTCTTTCTTCTTGGCATATAAATTACAATTTTTAAAACCTTAGTGGTTGCCCCTAGTACAGTGTACACTTAGAGGTAATTCATTTAGCTTTTAAATAATACTCCATAAACTACAAGTTTGAATAGGATAAACCTAGGTGTTTTTATTTCTATGTGGCTTGGTATTCTCTGGCTTCCCGGATCTGTGATGGGAGTCTGTCACTTAATTTTGAAAATTCTCAAGCCATGATTATTTCAAATACTTCTTTTTCTTCTCCTTCTTGGATTCTAATTATACGTACATCGCTTCCTTTGTTCTCATATTTCTTGGGTGTTGTGTTCCTTTTTATTTATTTCTTCTCTTCTTTCCCTTGCATTTCAATTTGCTGTGTTTCCATCTTCAAGTTCATTGGCTGATCCTGAACTATGTGTAAGGTATTTGGGAGCTGATCAAAGGTACTTTCGTTTCCAGTGCAGTGTGTTTCTTTACTAGCTTTTTTTTTTAAAGGTTTTTTCTTACTCTGCTTCTGATGTCCGTTTGTTCTTGCATGCTGTCCATTTTTCAGAGTGCCATTCGCATGTTAATCATATTTTAAAATCCCAGTATATGAATTCAGAAGTCTGGCGTATCTAAGACTGGTTCTCTTGCTTGCTTTATCTCTCCATACTGTTTTTTTTTTTCCCTCGTTACTCATTGGGATTTTTTTGTTGAAAGCCAAACGTAGTGTATTGGGAAACAGGAACTAAGGTACATGGGACCTTGGTGGGCGGGTTCGGGTTTGTCTTGCTAGGCTTCATCCTCGCATGTTCACTGCATGTCCGTGGTTTGCTGTAGCTACAGGCGCCTAAGTCAGTTTCTCCCAGCATCCTTGTTTTTGTCTCCTGGGTTGTCTTTGGGATTACCTAGAAACTCCTCCTTAGAGTCTAAATCTTACAGTTCTTTTAGCTGTGATCAGTCTCGTGTTGTACAAGAGCCCTGCGGATGAGCTGGTAAGATGTGGCGGGGTGGGGCGAGCCCTCTATAATCCTATGATCAGGTGTCGGTCTATTTATTGACCTATGACCCTGGGCTGTATCCTTCAGGAGTGTTGCTCAGCTTTTTGCTCCCTGTAGGCGAGGCAGACAGGCTAGAGAGGCTTACAGTTGGGTATCCCTCCCCACCCCCCACCCCCGGTCATTCATTTAAGCCAAAGTCATTTTCCCTTGAGACCAGACACAACAGAATGCTCTGGACATTTTAACAGTGACTCCTTTTCTTTTCCCTGCTGGAAACATGAAAGGATTTTTCTCTGACCTTCATCAGGAGAAATTGGTGGGGTTCTTTGATGTAAAACTGATGAATGTGGCATTCCTCATGAGAAAGCGCTCCCAAGAGTTTCCAAATACCAAGTTCCTCCTTCCTGAGTCTCCAGCAGTTTGCTTATATTGGACTTAGCGTTTTCCGGCCCTGGCAGCTTACACATTTGGTAAGCTGTGTTTCTCTGTATTCACGTCGATCGGGGCAGCTGTTTCTCCAGTGACCTCAGTTGTCTGAATCAAAGAGGTGCTGTCCACTTAATTTGTTATATTTAATTCCTTGTGAAGATGGGACCGACAGTTTCCAAGCTCTTCTACATACTGGAGTAGAAATGAGAAGGGGATCTCCACAGTTTTTGATAATGCTGCTAGGCTTGAAATTCTCCCTGTTCTGTTCTGTTTCCTCAAGGGAAAACTGAGGAGCTGTTCGGAGCTTCCTCTCCTGCCTGGGAGAACCCTCGGCACCACTGCTGCGGAGCTGGGTGCAGGCAGGGTCCCGCCTCTCCGGGAATCACGTGCATGTTCTGCAGCCGTGCCGGATGGGGCTGTAATCGCTGATGTTCCCGCTTGCCTTTCCCTGTGTGGGCGCTCCCCTCCGGGAGTCAGTGTGAGCTCCATCGGGATTCTCATAACTTTGACCTGCCACACCTAGAGGAGTGCTCCCAGCCCATGTGGACAGTTTGGGTGGGGGCGCTCACAGCCGTGCCTGTGAGAAAGAGTCACTGACACCCCAGGCTTGGGGAAATGAGAAATCCCAGTGGCCTGTCCCTCCTGCACTAAAAAGCCAAAAAATACTGAAATGGGGGGAATGGACCCTATTTTCTTGTTTGAATTTGAGCCCACAGCAAAGATCTGGAGGATGGATGAAGGTTGAAAATCATGCCCCTATATGTCACACTCTGGCTGTTAGTAAGATTTAGATGTTTTTGAATATATCTTTCTCTATTTGCAATATGTTCCTCAATTTCCTGAATATATGGATCATAGAATTAAGATTTGCACAATCATTTGTAAGTAGAGCTTCACTGAAATATATCGGGAGTATGAAAAATAGGTTTTTTTTTTAACCTTATGAAACCAGAAAAAAGAAGAGCAATTTAGACCTAACTTGAGCTCAGTAAATCTGAGTGAATCTGTCCTGGCATCACAGGGGTAGGTTAGGTGCCCGCCTTTAAGCCTTTGATTGTCCTGGCAGCCATTTGAAAGCCACCCATCTCAAATATATTGTCAACCATGTAAATAAAGTTGGAACACTCCCTCACTTGATATGCAAAAATATACTCAGAGTGGCTTAGAGACTTAAATGTAAGATACAGCATAACACTCCTAGGAGAAACATAGGCAAAACATTCTCTGACATAAATCGTAGCAATGTTCTCTGAGGTCAGTCTTCCAGGGCAAAGGGAAGGAAAGCGCTGTCAGCATTATTTTCATCATCATCATCATCATCATCATCATCCAGCATTGATTAAGCCGTTACGTACAGCACCACCACTTCGCCCAAATGCAGTGGCTGCACGTCTGTGGCACTGATGGATCAGGCATGCTGAAAACATTTCAGCCAGGAATCAGACCTAATTAAAAATTGCCTTCAGTCTTGTCCTTGGAGTGTATGCTGTTGAATTTCCTCATGGCTAAATGTGTATGAGACGCACCTTACATACACTGTGCTCCTGAACAGCAGTAAGACAGATGCCACCCTAGGCCTTCTGTCCTACAAGGCGTAGCATCACAACCACTAACTCTTTTGCACAGAAACAATTACTTACCGGATACCCCTTATCATACTGAAATGAATTACTGTCAAAATTACATGAGTGATATTTAAAATAATTAACATAGGTAGAATAAGTTGGTAATAGATACGTGATGTTTCATTTCCACCACCTGAAATTCATGTAGCTTTCTTGTGCGAGAGTTAACCTGTGTGAAGTCTGCATTATGGAAAGCTTTTGTAAAAATATTTTCTTGTATTTTTTTTTTGAAGATCTTGGTTTCAAGCTCAAGGTCAGTTGAAAGGTCACCGTGAAGAGGTATATACCCTCAGGTTGAGAAGCACCACCAATGCTTAATCTCTTTCCCTTAAGCAGAATGAGGTGAATACAGGAGAAACTTAGAAGAAAAATATTTGGATCGCTTTAAGTGAGAGTTTTTTGTGATGTTTAAAAAAAACCCGAAACAGTAGAAGGAAACTTATTCAATTCATTCTTTTCCGGTGGATTGCCTTGAGCTTGGTGCTCCAGCCTGCTTTCTCAAATTGGCAATAGTAAACTGCCTTTCTGCTTTGTTCCTCAAGGATTAAAGATCCTGAATGTGAAAGGCTACGTTTTGTCAAAATTCAGCATAACTCTCAAAATAAAATAACTTGTTAGTGAACAGCACTGACAAGAGCAATGATCCTGCTTAAATGAGGCTGTTAATGAAGATGTGGTGTTGACATTAATGCCCGCCCCCTGAAATTGGGCTTCTGATGTCTAAGATCGTCTGCCCAAATCAGAAGAGTCAAAGTACAGCGCTGGGCTCTTTCTCAGCCTGTCAGGCTGGCTGGCCGTTTCCCCCATAATACTGAGGTCAAACCGGTAGAATCATTTCCAAGAGTTTGGTGTTGAGCACATTTCGTCAGGCAGTGCGGCGTCCTGTGTTGGCCTGTGTTGCCTGATTTTCTCGCAGATGTGCCCAGCTGCCAGGAGACTGGACGCACATTTGTTAGAGCCCAGCTTTCCAGATGGCTCATTTTATCTCCGCCATCTGTGTAAACACCCTGCAGGCAGAGCAGGAGCCAGTAGCAACCTAAGGGACCACTTAGGACCCAGTTCTCTTACGTGACGCTTGGGGGAGCTTGGATACACCCAAGGTCTAGCCCCCACATGGTGGGAGAGCCTGAAGGAGAATCTGGTCCCCTGACCTGGGAACCAGGTGTTCCCCTACCCTCTGCCGTTTACCCAAAGCCTCATTACCCTAGTGTTCCGCACATGATGCCTCTCTCTGCTGGGAAGCTCCTGTGTGGCTGTAAGAATGTTGGAGGATGCATGTGTGAGCCCTGCACAGGCCCAAGGGCTCTGATGAACTTGGGGTTCCCCGTGGCCTGATGTATATCACCAGACCTCATGTCCTTAAGGAACAGCACTTTGGGCTATGTGGACACTGATTTTGCAGTCCCTTTGCTGGCTGGCCGTGTTCTCTACAGTGGAATGCTTATTCGCAGAGCCCCATGAGGATAGTTGGTGCTCAGAGTTCTGGTCTGGAAGTTAGCATGCTAGAATTTCAGACGCCCTTGTTTTTAAAGTATGAGAGACCTTTGATTACCGGAGGGTGGAGGGAGGGGACACCTCAAACTTTCCAGACCTCTGTGAAACACTGTTTCCTGTTTTGCAGTTTGTTACTTAGAAAAACAAGCAAGTTTTCCTATGGCGCTCAGACATAGAATTAGCCTTAACTGTTAGAAATTATGTTTTTGATTTCATTTTTGCTTAGTCATCCAGGCGCTCAGCTTTTTGGAAGCAAATCACTGTTGTGAACCAGACTGTCCGGAAGAGGGAGCCAAAAACTCAAAAGATGCCAAAAGGTGCATTGAACAAT